TCATATTATTGATTTTATACATTACATGGTAAGCACAGATTCACAACTAGTCAATGCATAAAACCTAGCCTACATGGATGCCAAGCGGTTGTACAGGTTTTTTGACTTCTTTTCCAACTTTTCCGGATTCGAGACAGTAAGTTTAGCCAGAAATTCGCAAGATTCCATCATTTCCACGCTACAAATCTCTTTCTCCTTCCTTCCCGAACTTAGAGAAGCTTTTTTTGAGGTTTCTAGAGTAATTTACGACTTATCTAAGTATTTTAGGAAGATGGAGAAATAGGATTTCCCGTAGCGGCTCTGACGCGCCAGTGGCATCTAGCCCGTTGTATCGGGACAGGGTCCAGATTTTTCACGAATTCTTGTCTTTCCTAAATAATGATGGTTTGGATCATTACAAAAAGAAATAGTCATAATTCAAGAAAATGAAAAGATATTAATCAACTATGAAATTAATAAATTAATCAAATCTTGCATATATCAAGAATATGGTACAAAAATGATTTTCTTGTTCAAATGGCATCATGAGACTAATTAAATCTAACCAAAAGAGTCATTAATCAATAATCTAGGCTTCATGTGCGTGAGAGAGAGAAAGAGATAAACAAATTTAAAATGTAAGAACTACTTTTCAAACGGGGGTGACCAAATATTGTGAGTGCCATATTTGAGTTGTCTGTAAAGAGATTGTAGCATTTAGAGGGTTATATATATATATATATATATATATATATATATATATATATATATATATATATATAAAACAATTTATGTAACTTATTATATTTATTAGGGATAATGCACAAGCAGCCCCTCAACCTATGTCCAAAATCTCAAAGTCACACTTATACTATACTATGATCCTATTACCTTCCTGAACTTATTTTATTAATAATTTTCTACCTCTTTTCGGCCTACGTGACACTATCTTATGGGCCCAATGCTGGTTGACTTTTTTATAAAGCTAGTGCCACGTAGGCCGAAGAGGGGTGGAAAATCACTTATAAAATAAATTCAGGGGGATAATGGGACCTTAGTATAATATAAGTGTGTCTCTAGGATTTCGGGCATAAATTGAGAGGAAGCTTATGCATTTTCCCTATTTATTATATAAGTTATCCATGTTACTCTATTTATATTAATTAATTTTTGAGGCTTTTTATATTGTTTATAATAATTGGACGGCTCAAAGTTCTAGAGGGATGATATTTTTTTTCATATTTGTCCTTCCATTTATTTAAGTTTTATATTTTTTAGGAGATGAATTGCATTATTTACAAAGTTATATTTATGATTTCACAAAGAACAATAATGAAAATTATGATATAAAATATGTCCTTGAATGATTTTCTTAATAGGTGTGCATGAACTCACAGATTCAGTTAATATGAATAGAGGGAGTATTATTTATTTGTCATTGTAATTATTACTTGTACTACTTTCTATATTCTAATTTATGTAACATGTTTTTCATTAGAATTAGTTCCTAAAAAAAGGACACATTTTCGTATTTGACAAATGTTTAATGACCCTATCAATATTATTTGACAAAACGTCCATACATGTGTATACTTTTCTATTTAAAAAAATATTTCTTTTAAGGATAATTTGAAATATTGAAAAATCTTTTCATATTTCATAAATTTCATTCTAACCGCATCACATTAGTTAGTTTTAAAAAGAATAATAATTATTTGTATCTGCCAAATGTTTAATGACCCTATCAATATATCTGGCAAAAAGTCCACAAATGCGTGCTCTTCTATTTTACAATGTATTTATTTTTAGGGTAGTTTTGAAACATTGATTATTTTTTTCATATTTCAAAATTCTTGTGCTATATACATCAATAGATTAAGATAGAGTAATTAATTTGCACACGCATTAATTAGCTTATAACTTTTATTATTTAGATAGAACTTTCTATGAATAAATAAAAGTTCAATCAATTCTAGTGATACCACTTCATACACGACAAATTGAATTATATTTGAATTCAAATTGAATAAAATGAGTGCTTGATGTTGAAGATACAATTTTATTTTATTTTGAAATTAGTTGGGTTTTGACATGAATTTGACTTAGATACTATTTTCTATTAACTAAAAATTTAAGTTTGTGAGTGAATCAATTCTTCACTATATCAATAATGCACCCTATCATATGGCTAAAGGAAAAATAATTATAAAATTCTTTGAGCAAAAAATTGTGGGAAAATACCCAAGTACCCCCTCGACCTATGCCCGAAATCCCAAAGACACACTTTTACTATACTAAGGTCCTATTACCCCCCTGAACTTATTATATGTAATTTTCTACCCCTTTTTAGCCTACGTGGCACTAGTTCGAAAAAAAATCAACCCTCGTTGGGCCCACAAGATAGTGCCACGTAAGCTAAAAAAGGGTAAAAAATTATTAATAAAATAAGTTCAGGAGGGTAATAGGACCTTAGTATAGTATAAGTGTGTCTCTGAGATTTCGGACATAGGTTGAAGGGGTAATATCCCAACATTGTCACACGACACCCCGACAAATTCACCTCCTTCTTCTCTTTAAAAGTTTTCTTATTATTGTTGAAAATGTTTTTAAATTGCTTTTGAAATGCACAAAAATGTAGGAAAACATGGTGATTTATTTTTTCATGGAATAAGGTCACATGAATTTAGAAAAATCATTCTCGAAAATAAAATAACATTGGTATCCTAAAATGGATAAAAATAGGAGACGATTGTCAAACATTAGAATGAATAATGTATTCTAGTTGACGAGGGTTACAATGATCAGCTAAATCAAACGGTAAATGTGGAAAATACAATTATTGCTAATTCAAGTGTGTCTAAAACACAAGATTGCATAAAACTCAAGTGTTACTACACGTTAAGTGAGCGCTATCTTAGCTAGCTGAAATTTACATATGAACTCAGACGGTCTGCTTATATGGAGTTGTACAATTTTCCATTATGAGTTAGTTTTAGGAATGAGTTAGACCGAGGTGTATTAGAGTCAGGTTCATCCCTATTTGGGCTCCCGGTTCACGCTCCAATTGGGACTGGGCATCAAAGAAGGGGTTAGAGTGGATAAAAATCTCACATTGGCTGGAGATTGGATTGGCGATCCACTTATATGGACTTGGGCAAAAGTCTCACAATAAGGCAGAATTAGTAATCCTTTAATTGTATGATTACTCATAACCCTTTGTAGGCTTACCATTTTATTATAGTTTGAATTAAATCTTCAAGCTTTTATTTTGAACATGGTTACGATACGACACTTCAATTTAAGCAATTACTTTCTTTAGAATCTATTCTTGTTTGTTAAAGGGGCAGACCTACTGAGCAGAATGACAGACAGAATCACTTTCTTATTTTCAGCAATAATATAATTGCCGCTATATTATATTTAGATGCAATAATAAATATGAGTATTTATAACCAATACTTTACATAAATGTTGCTAAAGGGGCTTTAGCGTTTCTAGATGCACTGACATTAACTCAATTGCTACTAAATATTTTTGCAACATTAATAAATATTATCACTAGAAGGAAAACTTATTGCCACTAAATGTCTTTTTTGTTGCAGTGTTAGTGGTCGTCTAAGACAAAACTTCATCCCTCTTCGCACCAACAAGAAGGGACCAAATATCTCTCATCTATGCTATGCAGATGACACTATTGATCCTTAACACTCAATTTCCTTGCTTGAACTGTAGAACTAATTGGAAGGGGTTAAGCCCTTAAGTTACAGATCCAATTTAATTCTTAATATCAGGTGGAATAAACCATAACAGTCTCTCAGGACTGGTCACTGCGACCCCCTTTGTGAGGAAGTACCCCTCCTCACAAAGTTACTCAGCTATATTGTTGAGTTCTTTAGAAAAAGTTTTCTCACGCCCCTAGGTATTCTATACCTACTCACCTGAGTCAGTTTCAGGTACCCTCTTGCTTAAAGTCGTACGAAACTTCTTTTGAGAATATGGCATGGGTTAATTCAGCGCCTCAGTACCTGAAGCAGCTTGTGGTGGAATTTTCACATACCATGATGGTAATATGAATACGATCTTCCTTTTTTACTTTGGCATCGGCAATATGATAGAAACAAACTTCTTGATTATCACTAACATGATATTGATAACTGACAACGTTAAGTCAGTGTCTCCAAATCAGACATTAATTGTACAGCTGACTGCCTTGCTAATTTTGGTTCATAGTATACGAGATTAGGTTCTTCCAGATAAGATCTGCACACCCAAAAGAGGGCGCTGGTTAAAATCTTTCTAGCTTGTGCAGGCAGCTGGTGGAACTCCTCAAAAGTTCCAGAAATCTCCTCATCAATGGCATAATTAGCTAGGCTATCTGCCACAACATTTCCGTGATTCAATTTTGAGGGTTAGCTTTGCGTTCCTTAAGTATGTTTCTCGTTTATTGGGAGACTGAATGAAAAAGGCTTTGTCAAGCAGGCATGATTGTCACGTCAATCGACAGTTGAGAAATACTATCTCCGGGGCCCTCACTTTAGGGCTATCTTTCACCGTTGACAGGCAGGCAATAGAATCAGCCGATAGGCGTAGGCAAGCGTAGCGAATCACATAGATAACCCCCTACCTGCCAGCGCGCGGATGGATAGGGTGGGCGATGGCTATTAGTATAGTAAGTATCTGTGATATTGAAGTTTAGTTAACTGTGGCAACTGCCGCATAATTCCTCAGCAGATGCACAGGCCTGAAAATCATACCAAAATTTTACTTCTTGAAGGAAAAACTAATTTGGTAATTAATGCAAGAGATAATTAAACTACACCACTTAATGCTTCAGGCACTAAGTTGTAGTGGTAATTGTCTTTCTCAATCTATCATCATCACCTTGAACATGATATCTATCAGGTAGGAAAATTCGAGAGGGTTGTTTTACTTCAAGATCTATTCCGCTATCATAAATTGAACCTCCACGTTTAACGTGGTACAAATATGAAAATGACTCCTGCAATTGTATCGCTAAAGTTAGAGAGCTTGATCATTGCATTTCACAACCAAACTGTTTTACAAAATTTATCATATGTCAGATTAACCTGCCAGAGCAACATACAGCAAATCCCAAGAAGCTATCAGGTACATACCAATTTTAAGGCAAATTCACTGATACACTTTTATCCATTCCCACCATGCTTAATGGTAAATGCTCACAGTGACAAGAAATCTGAAGCAGAGATGTCATGCCTCATGGACGAGAAATTCTGACACAATAAACATGGAAATGAAAAATGCAATGAATTTAGATCCCTCATCATCAAACTAGCATGTGAATCTCCATCTCCAGTTCCATGCTTCCGAGTATTTCAGGAAAAGTTTCTAAACTAGAGCACACATGTAGAGTCAGATATTTAAGGGAACCGATGCACAGAGCTGGAAACCTCTTAAACAGTTTACAATTAGTTAATATATATTCACAGAGATTTTGAGAAATCCCAGCGATTGATGAACTTCTTCAAGATTGTTCGCAGCTTTACCTTGTATTTGTGCAAGAGCTTGTTTCCACGACGTGAACGCGTGACCTACTGACCAAATGGAAACAACTTCACTAATTACGCTAAATTCCTCCTGCACACACACACCATGGAGATGGATTAAAAGAAATAGTTTTCTTTACTTTAAAAATATGAAACCAACTTTCATACTTTCATTAATAACTTTCATAATAACATGCTTTGAAAGATTAAAAGAACATTTCTTCACAAATTGATAATATCTAGAAAAAAATAGAGTTACCATCAAGAACTCCGTAGCTTGAATACAAATCTTATCGTATCTGATCATTAGATTTGGAAGCTGCCACTTATCCTAATTATAGTTGCAGCAAATTCTGATTAATGGAGATATAGGCAGGGTATGTTAATTCTGTTTCCTTCTTTGCAAGCACATCAACTACTTGATTCTCCTGATCTGTAACAGTGAAAATTCTCTAGTGTTAGGAAAAGATAACCTCATAACAGCTTTCATATTCCATATAAATATCCAACGACTTTTTTCTCCTTAAATAAAGATGGATTTAAATTCATCTATGATAAATAGGGCATGTGTTTAGGGGTGTCAAATGAGAGTGTAGAGTCGAATTTGGTGGGGGCAAAATAAATCGTGTTGAATTAAAAAAATGAGTTGGTCATTAATCCTCTCAAATGTTACTTATTCGACTGAAATGAATTGAGTCAAAATGGGCTAAACAATTGTCAATGGGTAGTCCAACCCGCTCAACACGTACTCATGACGTTTCTCAAGCCAAGATTTTCGATGGGTTGAATTAGACTGATCAAAATGAGTTAGAATAGTCCAATCAGTCCGGCCCATTACAAAATGGGCATATATAGTAGAAAGGTTTAGAACTATAAGAGATGGAAATAAGTTTGGTGGAATAAGGAAAGGTGATTTAATCATGGTTTTCTCTATTTCAGTTTAATGTAGCAGTAGCAATATCTCTAAATGAAGCTAGTACAGCAGAGTTTGAAGAAAAAAATGTAAAGAAATGAAAGGTTATATCTAGAATGATAGTTCCTTAGAAAACAAAATGTAGAAACATTCTAGAAAGGATAGTTCTAGAATTAAGTAGTTAGAGGAACATGCTACAGTAGAATAGTACATATCCTCCACTAGTCCTTCCATCGGTCACCACCAATAAATAGAGGTGACCATTTTGAGTTCTAGTAAAGAAAGTATGCAAAATATATTGCTACTACATGTCTCTTTTGTTGTAGTGTGAGTGGTCGTCTAAGCCAAAATTTCATTTCTTTTCTGACACACAAGAAGGAACCAAACATCTCTTATCTATGCTACGCAGATGACACTATTGATCCTTAACACACAATTTCCTTGCTTGAACTGAAGAAGTAACTGGAAGGAATTAGGTGCTAAAGTTGCACAGCCAATTCATTTCTCAATATCAGGTGGAATAAAACAAAACCGTCGCTCAGGCCTGCTCACTGAGACCCCCTTTCTGAGGAAGCACCCCTTCTTTCGAAGTTATACTGGGATATATTTCTGAGTTCCTTATAGATAGTTGTCTCGCGACCCTAGGTATTCTCTACATATTCACCTGTGTCGGTTTCAGGTAGAGGTACTTTCTTGCTCAAAGTCGTTCGAGCTTTTCCTGAGAGTATGACATGGGTTACTTCAGCGCCTTAGCGCCTGGTGATGCAGCTTGAGGTGACATTCTCACAGACCATTATGGTAATATGAATATGGTGTTTAATTCTTACTTAGGCACCTGCACAAATATGGTAGAAAGTCTAGCTCATTTGATAGGGATACTATAGTGCATCCAGAACCATATTTTAATGTGGACACTCAAACATACTTCATGATTATCACTAACATGATAACTGACAAGGCTAAAGTCATGTGGACGGTGACAGTTTCCAAATCAGACGGAAGCTATTGTACAGCTGACTGCCTAGCTAATTTTGGTTCATAGTATACGAGAATAGGTTCTTCCGGGTAAGATGGCTATCAACATAGTAAGTATCTGTGACATTCAAGTTTAGTTAACTGTGGCAACTGCTGCATAATTCCTTAGCAGATGCACAGCCTGAAAAACATACCAAATTTTTACTACATGACGGAAAAAATTGTTTGGTAACTAATGCAGGACAAAATTAAATGCCAAATAAATATCCAACGACTTTTTTCTCCTTAAATAAACATGGACTTTAATTCATCTATGATAAATAGGGCATATGTTTAGGGGTGTTAAATGAGTGTGCTGAGTTGATTTTGGTGGGGTCAAAACAAAACGTGTTGAGTTAAAAAAAATGAGTTGGTTATTAATCCGCCAAAAAGTTACTAATTGGGCTGAAACAAATTGAGACAAAATGGGCTAAACAATGGGTAGTCCAACCCGGCCAACTCTTACTCATGTTTCTCAGCCAAACTTTTTGGATGGGCTGAATTAAACAGATCAAAATGAGTTGAGTTAATAAATGATGACACTAATGATTATATTTAGAATATCAGGGCTGTTCTGAAATATAATAGTTGAATCAGTCCGGCCCATTACAAAATGGACATATATAGTAGAAAGGCTTAGAACTGTAAGAGATTGAAATAAGTTTGGTGAAACAAGGCTCCTCATGGCACAATCAAAGTGAACACTGATGGGAGTTTCTCACAAAAATATGTGCAAAGATAGTATATGTGGAATTGTTAAAGATAGTCAAGGTGATTTAATGTAACAGTAGCAATATCGCTAAATGAAGCTATTCAGCAGAGTTTTGGAGTGAAATGGTGTGGACTCAATGCACAACCAACATGGTGACAAAGGACGATTCTTTCTACCTGAAGCTTTACCAGTTTGTGTACAAAATCATTAACTACAAGAAGAGGGATGAAATCCAAATCACTCGCCGCTATAGAGAAGGAAACCAAGTAGCAGATTTTCTTGTTGCCTTTTTCATTCTAAAGACACAACTAGACACTGATGTGCCAAAAAAACAAATACTAGTGTGCCTACTATACTCAAACATGGACGAACAACAACCTACAGATCATAGAGACAAAACGAGTTGGTAGAAGAGAAATGGAGGAGGAAACAGAGGTTTGTCTGAAGTATGTCAACGCAGGTACAAGTTAAATATTTTTTGAAAAAAACTAAAAAAAAATGTATAGCATTAAAAGCGCGGGAGAAACTGGCCACGTCATTAAAAATTTTATGTATAAATTAACAAACTAGAATACTCAACTACTGTATAATGACTCGTAACCAAATTATAACACCAATACTTAAACTATTGAATTACAGTGGAAACTACTGAAATAACAAGTAACTAAAGAATAGAGATAAGAATGGAGAATGAGAAGCTTAGACTCTAGAAAGTGTTAAGTATTCATCACCAATTTAGTTAACATCTGCCAGAGAAGTACCTAGAATATTCAAAGTTGTAAAGAAATGAAAGGATATAGCTAGAATGATTGTTCCTGAGAGAAAGTGTAGATATTTTGTAAAATTATGTAGTTGTAGGAACAATCTAGAATAGAATCGTACATATTCAATCCTTCACTAGATCCTCCCATCGATCACCACCTATAAATAAATGTGGTAATTTGAGTTGTATCCAAGAAAGAAAGAAAGTAAGCAAGCAAGTAAGGAGTGTGTACACAAGATGAGTGGGTGCTCAACCTAGACCCCAAGTAAATATATTTTTCGGCTGTCTAATTCTTGAGTCTTTTCGTGGCTTAGCCCTAGGCCTAACGACTTGTCTAGCGTATGGACTATCCGTGTTCACAACATATACTTCCATCCACACGTGGATACTGTTTATATACTATTCCATCTACACATGGATACTATTTCTATACTACTCCACTAGATTAAACTAGCAAAATCAGGAAGGCATGGTATTGTAACATGAAAAAGAACAAAAACAATGATCAGAGAAAACCAAAAAGAATAAAAATGGAAAAAACCAAACAAATGAGATGTCTCAAGTAAGTGTATCATTATAAATGACAATTGCAACAACACATATCTCACGATCTTAAGATTTTCAAAAGTCACAAAGAAGGGAATGCATCATCCTTCGAAACCATAAATTGTCTAAGTTCCAAAATCTTCAAAACAAACAAACAAACAACATGAAATTAAACAATCATAAATCAGAGCAACCCAATGCTGCTTTGATTTTTAAAATTATGCTGCTCAAAAGGTAATGAACAGAAGCCACTACCTCCATTTGTTGCTTCTGGGAGGTTGGATTATTATGACCACTTACCAATATTTGAAAAGTCACTGTCAAAATTGAACCATTTTCAGCATTTGCAGTACTGTCCCTATCCGAGGAGAGGCGACCATCAGGACTTATGGTGATACCTGAGGGCAAAATGGGAACTCTTTTTACATCACCTCCATTGACAATTGAAGTGATTGCTTGTAAATCTATGGGTGCATAAACTAAAAATGCTCCCATACTATCAATGCTTGTCTCTTGGATCACTAACATTTCCTTTTGCATACAAGGCTGTACATACATTGCAACAATTAAAAAATATTAGTGGAAGTACTAAAAGAGATAATGTGAAAAAGATTTTTAAATTATCAGTATATATAAATAAAACGTAACAAAAGATAGTCTTTGTGTTTTTATTGTTAACTGACTAAAAGTCAAAAGTAAAACTGGACCATAGAAAATGTCATTTAATTCGATAATCAAAGATTAAGGATGAAAATATACAAGTTAGAAATTATTTCTACATATGAAAAAAGAAGAATCCAATCATAAACATATTATTTGATTCTTGAAAAATGTCATTATTACATAAAATCGCAAACTATAAATAATAAATATGAAAAATACCTGAATGATTGTAATACTGTTTTCTGGAAGAGTTCCTGTTAGTACTCGAGCTAACTCAATCACATTATTCCCACCAGTCAAAATATCCCACTAAAAAAAAGTCAAAACGATAAATAATATCATAATTTAATTGCTAAAATTAAGTTTGCGAGATGAGCATTGTTTAAAATAATATGTACAATTAACGCCAATGCTAGCAAACATGTAGATAATATAACATGGGAACACAACATTAGCAAATCAATCAAATTCAAGACTTCAACTTAATGGTTTAAAACTTCTTAACGTTGAACTCATTCTATTTTTTATTTTAAACTTATGATATTTATTGAAATATTTGAGTGTTTTACATAAAAATCTATATAGGGATTGAAAAAAGTCAATTTCTATAAGAGTATTTTTAGGGATCCTTTGGTTACCAAGTCATATAGGGATTAAAAGTGCAATTTTTTTTATCAGATGTTTGGCTCATTGCAATAAAATTGAATATCAAATGCAAAGATATATACAATCTTACCTTTTTTTATATTATTACAATCATTCCCTATAACAATATTTCACCTATAATATTTTATAACAATAACATATCATGCGTAATTTCACAATGTGAGGTCTATAGAGGGTAGAATGTAGACAAACCTTACTTGTACCTCTTCGAGATAGGTAGGCTGCTTTCGAAATGCCTTTGGCCAATTGAATATAACATCAAAGTTTTATTTGAAACCGATATCAATATCATGCAAATTATATTCTCAATAATAATATTTCGTTGTAACAACAAAACAATTTATCTGAACAATTGTCATTATTATAAAGAGGTTTGAATACATACCTGACTTCTTGTCTTGTCATCTTTGAAAAAATTGAAGACATCTTGGAATGAAAGAGGGAGCCACAAAGAAGTAGCAGCAGTGGCAATAAAGCCTTTTGGTTGGATAATTTCTTCATTTATTCTTATTGAAATTCTATCTCCGCGGTTGAGCCGTGATGAAGTTGGAAAATCTAAGTTGTCTGTCATGCTTAGGATTTCAAAAAAGTTCTTCACCATCCTTTGAGATATTTGTATTGTATTTTTCATCCCTTCTAGATAATTTAACATTGAAAATAAAAATAAAAATAAAATATAAGTATTACAACATATATATCATGCGTAATTTCACAAGTGGAGTTTGAGAAGGGTATCCCTTCCCTGAGAAGGTATAAATGTTGTTTTTGTTAGATTCTTATTCAAATAAAGTATATCAAAATTCATATATGTAAAACAAATAGTATGATATAATTGGATCCAAGGAGACAACATGTAATACTAAAATCGAAAGATAAAATATTTGGAAAACAAAATTCACAATACAAATGAGGAAAAAAAAGGTAAGGGCGTATTTTTTATTTTTTGAAAAATAGGAATTCTATTTTTATTTTCAGTATTTGGTTGGAGAGTGAATACATATTCTAGAAAAAAAAGTTCTATTGAAGATTGATAAAAAGTATTAACTGACAAGAAAGTATGATGAGATATTTACATGTTAAAGGTGAAAGTGATGCCCGAATGTCGTTAAAGTGTCAATATAATGTTCAAAGTTGAGAAGATTGTGAAGGAAAAATGACTTTTCTTTAAACAATGAGAAATACAACCATTTTTCTTGCTCCTTCAGTTGGAAAACATTTTCCCTAAAAGTTATTTTCAAAGAAGTCAATAAACATCAATAAGACTAATTTTTTTAAAAAAATTCGAATCATACCAAACACACAAAAAAACAAAACTTTGAAAATGACAGTTTCAATTAAAACTTGAGAAAATTGCAAAGAAAAATGACTTCACCTAAAAATAACAGAATGAGTCATGTTCAAGGCCCTTTCAGAAAAGAAAAACATAACTCTACTCGAGTATGTAGTTTTTTTTAATACATGTATATATCTTGTTAAACATACCTTTAAAGATGGTTTTATTTTTATAAAAAGTTTTATATTTGTAATGAAAACCACAATGATGAAAGATTTGCAATATATCCTTATCTTACCTTAAAAATTAAAATATGAAAAGTAGTAAGTAAATAAAATAGAATATAAAACCGAACCTCTAGCCACATTAAAATCATGCCTAGTAGGGCATATTGCACCCATGGCAAAATTATATCTCTCAGACATCCTTTGAAGTGTAACAATCCATCTTTTAGCTCCGTATGTTTGACGATCACACAACAAGTCTCTAAAGATACGATGTACTTGCTTTTTTTCATATACTTGAACATGTTCCACCCAAGTAACCTGCAAGAGTAAAAATAATCCAGAAAACGGAATCAAAATAATTAGCTTGTTGGAAAATATTTAGGAAGGTATGTTGAAAATTAGTGTTTTTGTAGCAGTGGATACTATAAGGCAAGGACTGATTAGGACCATATGAGGAGACAAATATTAATCCTCACTCATTAAGATTCAAACATCTGGACATGAACACCATAGTATGGGTCGTGTGAGCGCTCCTGAACTATACAGACGACTTTTTGGCGGTAGGGCTAGAGTGCTTGAGGCAGATTCGAAGAGAAGTGGTTGATTACTCTATGTTTAATGATACATAGTAAAGTTATGAACTCAAGCTAGCAAAAAACAAGACTGGGGTCGATAGGGAGGCATTTTGGCACTATTGAAGTGCAGTTCCACATTGTTATATGAAAAATCGTGATAGGTCTGACGACTCCTAACATGTTAAAATGGATACTAAATCTAACTCAATCCTAAAATATAACTTATAAGTTTGTTGGAGATTTTCCAAGGCTGTAGATGGATAAAAAGATCATTTTCTAAACTAATATGGAGAGACTCAAAACAACCCATGATGCACGTCTCAACGCTGATCATTTGGAGCATGAATTAGAAACATAACATGAGGATCCAAAATTGAATTAAATGAGAATAAATATATTTTGATTCTTATATCATACTATAAGAAGAATAGACATCATGAGATAGGTACCGACAAACATTTACCTCTTGTAGCATAGTCTTCGAAAACTAAGTTTCATATAAATAGTGATATAGATGTTACATGCTTGAGTTGTGGAAACAATCTCATGCACAAGTGCAAGACAAAAATACATATAATAGACCTTAGTAATTTGGATCTCATGTATAAAGGGAGCTTAAGGCACATAGTTTTCCTTTTATATAAATAGTGATATTATTAGAGAGATGAAATGATTCATACCTTACTTTGGCCATTACCTATATCTTGAATAGCACAACCAGAAGGAAACTTCCAAGAATAAGAATGTACACCACTTTGAATCTCATTGAATGGATCATAAGAAACATCCATCATAATCCATGTTCTTGGATCAAATTGTCTACAACTACGTATGAAGAAAAAATCTCGAGCTTCCACTAGAGGAGATAAAATATGCAACTTTTCATACATCTGTATTCAAGAACCAAGAAAAAATTAGATCAATTTTATGAAATAAGTATAGTATTTATTTAATCTCTATGGAAGAAGATCTAAAAGATGTATCAGTATCTTACTAATTGTATAGAACCTCCCCAAGTCCCCGAATCAAGAACTTCAACAGTCCTAGCTTTTGTGACTATAGTAGGAAACAACTCCATCCATTTGACCTACATATACAAATTAATAATTTTTAAGTATATGATTAATTATGAGACAATGAAAATAGCAACTATTTCTCAAAATAAGTACTCATTTGTCCATGTCTGTCACTCCATCTAAACTCATCCTAATCAATCTAGTGTGGGATAAAATTTAAATTAAAATCGTATCAGCCTATTGAAAAATAACCAATTTATAGAATTCATGACAATGTGTTAGATTTCAAATAAAAAAATGAATATATATTTGATCTTTCACATGCTCGAGTTCGAAATTCATGATACTAACATATTGGTATGATTCCATATCAAAAGTAGTAAGTTTTCAACGAAATCTCAAACACTAGCTACTTTTCGAAAATCAATCCAAAATTAAGTGACTAGCACACGCACAATATATATATATATATATATATATATATATATATATATATATATATATATATATATATATCAAACCAAGCCTTAAATCCTAAATCCTAGTACTGAGACATTCTGAAGCCATACATCATTCTAGGGCCAAAGCATGTAATAACACATGTTAGAGTTCAAGAAACTTACTGGATCAAGAAAATTATGGATCAACTCACTTGCAGTCATCGACACAACTTCACAATCCTTTGATGATTCAATTCGATTAGCCGATGATTGGTAATAAGGTCGATTTGGATTTGGAAATATTCTTTCATAACTCTCACGATGAATAGAACACCTCCCTTCACTTGATGAATCTACCCAAATTGGATCATTTATTTTCCAAAGTTCAACCATTTCATTCATAGAAGCCACAACAATCTCAAACATTTTTGTTTTTTGCCTATCATGAAGTTCGTAATGTTCTTGTCGTGATGGAGACATTATTGAAATATTATTAGTATTTACTGAATGTGCTTGAACATTATTATTAGTATTATACTCTTGACCAAAAGAAGGAGGATATACAAGATTTGATTTTGATGGCGCCAAATTTGAAACTGTCACAGAAGGCCTTTCAGGAACACTTGAGATGTGTTTTGATACTCTTTCACACTGCAAAAAAAAAAGTTAATTTACTTATAATAACATGTATTTATTTATAATAAACATGATTTGAGAACCTAAAAGGATAAGAGTACATAATTAAGTTTTTATAAATATATAAATTAAATTCTTTTCATTCAACTTGATCTCTCTTGTCAAGGGCGGGTGCAACTCGCAACTCATAAGCACGGGGCAGAAATGGATTCAAGATCTAAACTTGATGGGTTAAGACTTTTTAGGTACTTAACACTTTTTGTGTGTAGGGGGGGGGTTCACCTAGTTTTCAGTACCCACATTAGGACATCCACAAATTCGGATTAAACATCATGTAAGAGGTAGATGTTACAAGCCTTTTTAGTTTGCATCTAAAGCTTAATTCATTGTATTTATAAAAATTATGGATCAGATACGACATTTAAAAAAAACTAGTGACTTTTTTCATGTATCTATGCTTTGTGTAAAAATTATGGGATTCAAATTAACTCGGTGCCTATTATTTGCATCCACCTCAATAGATATCTTAAAGGTGGAACATAGACATATATGTGTAAAAATAGACTAAAACGTCAAAAGAAATATAGGGCATCCACGTGCTTTTTAAGCAAGCTCAGTTCTCTTATCCATTGGTCCAATGTACTGTCCATAAATCTAACCCCCTTCATTTCAAAATTCAAAGTACAACGTTGAGATGATGCTAAATGCCTCAAATCCCGGATTGATCAATCGAGTTCAAACCACGAATTTGCCTCGTCTTTTTTATATACAAGTAATTCTTTTTTAGATGAATAAATAAATTAATAGCAAAAATAAATAAAATAAAATAAATAGTATAAGTACAAGGATTACTTGTTCCCTCAACCTTTGATTTTCTATTTTCAATATACAGGTCCTTTCCTTTTTTAATGGGTGGTCCATCACACTTTGGGCACATTGTTTTCTTCATTGCCTCTTTCATTGTGTTATTCTCACAAAGAAATCTTTCATTTTCTTTTCTAAGAGAATTGTTAATAGATCTCTCATTTTGAGTCTGATGATATATTTATAACAAAAAAGAATCACATAAAAATAAGATATTATGAGTTAATCAAATGTAGAAATGTTAGAAATATGCATAAGAACTGCATCAGTCCAAATTGTCTGTATTGTAGGGTAGATATTTACTGTTTAGTAGTTAAATTCTATCTTATCCTTATCCTTATCCTTAATTTTTTAATCTTATCCTTAGGAGTTGGTTTACTTGTAAACTCCTATAAATATCTGTGTTATAATGAAGTAAGTAGTTTTTCTTTTCATAAATTTTTCTTTGTTCATTTATCAAACTAACGTTCCTACTTGTTCAATAACAAAAGAAGATAAGATTGTTATGTTTTTCCTTCTCTAAAACTAACAATTGGTATCAGAGCATTTATTTCTTGAGGGATCCTTGGGTGTTTTGATTGTAATCAACTAGACAAGTTTATCAATCATGGAAGCAGAATCAAGTTTTTCTGTAATGGCACCACCTGTCTTTAATGGTGATAACTATCAGACTTGGGCGGTAAGGACAAAAACATATTTAGATGCCATGGATATGGGGGAGACAGTCGAAAAGGATTATGAAGTTCCTCTGTTGCCTAACAATCCTACTATGGCCCAGATCAAAAACCATAAAGACAGGAAAAGCAAAAAAGCAAAGGTAAAGGCCTGTTTATTTTCAGTAGTATCTTCTTCAATCCTCACTCGAATTATGTCTCTAAAGTCATCAAAGGCCATCTGGAATTATCTCAAGGAAGAATACGAAGCGGATGAAAGGATCAGAGGTATGCAAGTGTTAAATCTTATAAGAGATTTCGAGATGCAGAAGATGAAAGAAACTGAAACCATCAAAGATTACTCTGAAAGGCTGTTGAACATAGCAAACAGGGTAAGATTGCTTGGTTCCGTGTTTAATGATTGACATATTGTTGAAAAGATTTTGGTAACTGTGCGAGAAAGATTTAAAGCAACCATAACTACTTTGGAAAAAACAAAGGATCTGTCCAAGATCACCTTCGCAGAGTTATTGAATGCTTTGCAGGCACAAGAACAACGAAGGGTCATGAGAGAAGAAGGAAATATAGAGGGAGCATTGTTTGCCAAGCCTCAAGATGGAGGCAAAAACAAAAAGAACAAGAACAAGAAGAATAGTGAAGGCATTTCAACAAATACTACCAAAGGAAAAACTGGACACTCAAAGAAAAGTTATCCTCCTTGTAAGCATTGTAACAAGAAAGGTCATCCACCATATAAATGTTGGAGAAGGCCTGATGCTAAATGTAGTAAATGCAATCAACTTGGGCATGAAGCTGTAATTGCAAGAACAATAGTCAGCAACAAGAAGCAAAGGCTAAAATTATTGAGGGCGAGGAAGAAGATCAACTCTTTGTTGCTACATGTTTTTCAAGTAGATCATCTAGTGAGTGTTGGCTGATGATACTGGATGCACTAATAATATGACAAATGACATGTCTCTCTTCAAGGAATTGAAGCCCACGACCATTACTAAAGTCAGAATAGGTAATGGCGACCATCTTCCTGTAAGAGGGAAAGGAACCATTGCTATTCCAAGTAATTCAGGTACTAAAACAATTTTTGATATGCTTTATGTACTTGACATAGATCAAAACTTGCTTAGTGTTGGTCAATTGATGGAAAAAGGCTACAAGTTAAATTTTGAAGATAATCATTGCTTGATCAAGGATGCTTGAGATCAAGAGAAATGTTTAAAGTAAGAATGAGAGGCAAAAGTTTCTCATTAGATCCATTTGAGGAGAAGCATGTTGTTTTTTCGGCAAAAGAAAGTGTTGCAGAAGTATGGCACAAGAGACTCGGACACTATCACTACGAATGGTTGGTTAAAATGCAAAAAATGAAAATATTTAAGGACTTGCCTGTTTTAGAAGTACATTCTTCAAATTGTCTTGTGTGTCAATATGGAAAACAAAACAGACTTCCATTTTCAAAGACAACTTGGAGAGACTCGAACAAATTGCAACTAATTCATACTGTTATAGCAGGACCACAAAGGACTCCTTCACTAAAAGGAAGTCTACTATATCATTTTTGTAGATGATCTAACCCGCATGTGTTCGATTTATTTTCTCAAACATAAGTCAAAGGCTTCTAATGATTTTCGGAAATTCAAACCAAAAGTAGAAAATGAAGCCAACTGTAAAATTCAGTTCGTAAGAACAGATAATGGAAAGGAATTCACTTCTTACCAGTTCGACATATTATGTGAGGAAGCAGGGATTCATTATCAACTTACTACTCCCTATACTCCACAACAAAATGGAGTAAGCGAGAGAAGAAACAGATACATTATGGAGATGACCAGATGCATGTGGCACGAGAAGAACTTACCAAAGAAATTTGGGGCAGAGGCAGCAAATACATCAGTTCATCTTCAAAATAGGCTTCCCACAAAGGCAGTGAAAGACCGAACTCCATTTGAAGCTTGGTATGGATTTAAACCAACAAATTTTTTTAAAGTGTTTGGTTGTCACTATTTTCCTACATTTCTCAGGTTAAACGAGATAAACTAGATAAAAAATCTGTCCCAGACATTTTTATTGGATATAGTTCAGTTTCAAAGGCATATAAAGTCTTCCAACCACAAACTGAAAATATAATCTTTAGTAGAGATGTGAATTTTATAGAAAATGAAGAGTGGTGTTGGGAAGACTCGAAGAAATTTGTCGTTAACACTTCTGACAAAGCAAAAAGGTCTCCTACCCAGTTTTTTGAGGATAAAATATCACTCTCACGGCAGGATGAAATGGTGGATCATTTACCAGTCAAAGGTACTCGACAACTCTGTGATATATATCAGAGATGCAATGTAGCAATATGTGAACCTGTTGGGTACAATGAAGCCAAAAATGATGGAAAATGGGTTGCTACAATGAAAGAAGAGTTATTTATGATTGAGAAAAACATGACATAGGAGCTTGTTGATCAACCTGAAGACAGAAAGATAATTAGGTTGAAATAGGTCTTTAGAACCAAGCTAAATGTCGATGGTTCAGTGAATAAGCATAAAGCAAGACTTGCTGTTAAGGGGCATGCTCAAATTTTTGGTGTGGATTATTTTGATACATTTGCACCAGTAGCTAGGCTTGACATGATCAGGTTACTTCTTGCTCTTGCTGCACAGTTGGGTTGGAAAGTGTATCAGATGGATGTCAAATTAGCATTCCTTAATGGCTTTCTACAGGAAGAAATTTAAGTGAGCAACCTGAAGGCTTTGTGAAGAAAGGAAATAAGGAAAAAATTTATAGGTTAAGAAAGACATTTTATGGAATTAAACAGGCACCAAGGTCCTGGTATGGTCAAATAGATGGCCATTTACTTGGCTTAGGCTTTGAAAAGAGTCTATCAGAATCTACTCTTTATGTTAAACATCATGGCATTGATATTCTTGTTTTGTCTATATATGTAGATGATGTACTAATTACAGGAAGTAATACAAGGTATATCGAGGATTTCAAGCAAGAAATGATGCAAGCCTTTGAGATGACTAATCTTGGTCTAATGTCTTATTTTCTTGGTATGGAAATCAAGCAGGGTCAAGATGAAGTTTTTATTTGCCATAAGAAATATGCTAAGGAAATTCTCAAGAAATTCAATATGGAAGATTCCAAGGAGATGAATACTCCTATGAACCAAAAAGAGAAACTAATAAAGAATGACAGAGCAGAAAAAGTGGAGCAAACATACTTAAGAGGCTTAGTCGGTTATTTGATGTATCTCACACCTACAAGACCTGATATTTTGTATGTTGTAAGCATTCTATTGAGGTTCATGCATTGTGCTAGTGAGATGCATCTAAAAGTAGCAAAACGAGTTATTAGATACATCAAAGGAACCATCAATTATGGTGTTAAGTTTCAGAAAAAAATAGATCTGAAACTACTTGGGTATTCTGATAGTGATTGTGCTGGATCTGTAGATGACATGAAGAGCACATCTGGATATTGTTTCAGTCTTGGCTCAGGAATGTTTTCGTGGTTCTCAAAAAAGAAGGACATTGTGGCTCAATCCACTGTAGAGGCGGAATTTGTGGCTGCAACAGCAGCAGTAAATCAAGCATTCTGGTTGAGGAAAATTTTTGGTCATTTGCACATGAATCAGACAAAGGGAACTGAAGTGTTTGTGGACAATCAATATGCAATAGCAATTTCTCATAATCCTGTATTTCATGGGAAAACAAAACACTTCAACGTCAAGCTTTTCTTCTTGAGGGAAGTGCAAAATAATGGTGATGTGACTCTCCTCTATTGCAAAACTGAAGAGGAGCTGGCTGATATCTTCACCAAACCATTATCAGGCAACAAATTTCAACTTCTCAGGCAAAAACTTAGAGTTTCCAGCTCTTAAAGCAAGGAGGAGTGTTAGAAATATGCATAAGAATTGTCAGTCCAAATTGTCTGTATTGTGGGGTAGTTATTAACTAGGGTAGTTATTTACTGTTTAGTAGTTAAATTCGATCTTATCTATATCCTTATCCTTATCCTTAGTTTATTAATCTTATCCTTAGGAGTTGGTTTACTTGTAAACTCCTATAAATATATGTGTTATAATGAAGTAAGTAGTTTTGCTTTTCATAAATTTTCTTTGTTCGTTTATCAAACTAATGTTTCTACTTGTTCAATAACAAAAGAAGATAAGATTGTTATGTTTTTCCTTCTTTAAAAACTAACAAGAAAGACAAAGAAATATAAGTAGTTTTTGGACAAATAGCATTTTCCACCTCTAAAATATAGGTATATTATTTTGATCCTTGTAATATTTGACGAATCGTATTTAATTTTTAAGTAATCAAAATGTGTGTTTCTAGAACTTTTATGCATGGAGTATGTTGTGTAAACTACTTTTAAAATTATAATACAATCAAACATTGAACAACAATACAAATTTAACATAACACAGATAATTAAGTAATTGTACAACTAATCATTATGTTAAATTTGTGAACGTTCACAAACAAATGAATCAAAAGTGCACATTCCAATTAAATGTAGGTTTAGGTACTGAGCAAGACATTACTATTATCAAAATGAGAACTTTATAATAATTGAAGGACCAAATTAAGCCTTTTTTTTTACAAAAAATCTGTGAACATTATTTTCTCCTCCCACCTTTGCTTAAAATTTTAAATTCCAGCTCTAATTTTGAACAACACACTTTCTTCCTCATGAATACATATTTTGAAGAGTGTTTACATAGGTGAAAAAATTAGTCTATGAAAATTTAATTTATCCTATTTGAACGTGTTTTGCTAGGCATATTTCATGCAGGTAATTTGGGCAGAAGTCAAGGTATAAAATGACTAAAATTCGGTTGATATAAACTAAATACTTAGCTCAAAATAATTCATAAATGAATTTGTTAAAACGTATATAGTCAACAATAACATGCCTAGTTTAAATCAACAAAAGTGGGGCCTGAGAGGATAAAGTGTACACATATCCTACAACTACCACAGAGGTACAAAAGTCATTTCCGATAGACCCCCGTCTCAAGAAAAATATAGACCAACACATTATAGAGAAAGAAATACAAAATAGAGAAAGTCATGTCAATTTTGTAGATAACCTATCAAATCATTCTAAACAATAGCCATAATAAGAAAAAACAATAATAGAAGCATAAAATTACATAACTAATAAACATACTAATAGTATGACTATTAGTGTAGAATAATAAGTGAGACAACTCAACAATCTAATTAACCTCCTACCCTAATATGTGTCCTTCATAAACTCCTGTCAAAGGCCTCAACTTTATTACACATATAACACCCAAAATTGCAATGCTCTATGAGTGCTCCAACTTCCCCAGTACAATGTCCTTGTCCTTCTCTTTGTTCAAGAGTTAGTGGAAGTAAGATTGCACCTCCATATGATGAGTGTCTACTCAATGAAGACATCTCCAACTCGACACTCATTGTCACATTCGTATCTCAAGGTAAGGCCTAGATCCAGAACTTACAAACCTTGAACTCACCAAAAATTGTTAATTTTACTAAGTTATTTCACAATCAGTGCAGATTGAACCGCAAGGAGTTGATACAACTGCAATAAACCCATAAAACTACCAAGTAAGATACTCATTTTTAATCAAATAATCTTTGTGATTTTTTTTGTTCTTGTTGTTTCTTTTTGATAACAAAAAATCAAAAATGTTGATCTATAGTGACTGCCTCCTTTTGTGCTTCTAATTTGTGATTGGAATATACTAAGATGCCGCCTACTTATTCCTATTCCTCACACATCCCAAGTACTTCAACTTATACCTATCCACATACTAGCCTAAGATCCTACCCATCTGGTCTCCTAGATAAAAGTTATCCTTCTCTTCTTGAGAATCCTCAATAACTATGAAATTCCTAATCAAAGACCATATTCTTAGCCTGCACATGATAAATTTAGTTGCAACAAAAATTACTTTGTATGGTAATTTCAAAAATAACGTGAAAAAACTTTAATAAAAAATGGTTAGAGTTGGAAAATTCGATTGTGGTCTATTTTAAGCCTAACACAACTAATTTATTAATTGGCTTATTTGTTTATACAAATTATTTTGACTAGCTTAGACTTGGTTCAATCCATCCATTTACTATGGCAAGAATTCCTTCATTCATCAAATAATATAGAAAACAAAAATCATTAGTTCTTAGTTGCAACACCAAATTTTTTTTGACTTAAAATTCTCAAAATCCTTGGCAAGTTATGGAACTTGCTAGAGAGTTTATGTACTTTGAATAATTTAACATGATTCTATTATTTGTTTTATTGAGCAACAACTCACCAAATTGGAAGCCGGATGATAAAAATAACTTTAATGAAATGAAGCTTTTAGGGAAATTCATATAATAGTGAGGCAAAGAACATACTTCCAAATATATTGATCAATTCAACAAGGCAAAAAACAAAAGAATTAGCGAAAATTAATTGAAAAGAAAAGTTCAATTTTTGATATTTTAAATGTTTTTACAAGGAGAAAAAATAAAAAGAAAGTTGACGTAATAACTTAATTATTAAGACAAAGAAATTGTTGTATTTTTTAGACATTTTGACAACTATACACAATTTAGAGAAATATTTAACAAGAGATTCACTGGACTTGTCATACATCGATTTTACCTATATAATCAGTTTTAATAGATTGTTTAAAAAATTAACTCAAGAAATAGTAATTTGCTGTTATGCGTAAATAATAATAACAACATACCTTCAATTAAGTATAATTCAATTTATCGAAAAGGAATTAAATAATTAGAATTACCTTTATTTGTGTCCTTTTGTTTTGAAACCACATAGTGACCTGCTTTGGCTCAAGCTTTGCTTCCCTAGCCAATTGATTTTGTTGATTTTCATTTAGAAGCGGACAGTTCTCAAAGAATTTTCATTGAAAATTCAGGAAAAAAACTTCATTTATCATTTTTTAAAAATTAAACCAAAAAATGAAAAAGTAAAAAAAAATGTCATAAGGGTCTCAAGTTTGAGCATTGGAACTAAAGCCTCCTTATTAAGAAATTGTTTACTCTAAAACAAGACTTAATTCCCCACTTGAATTTTGATTAGTCGAGCCTAGATCAAGTACCAGATACTCCCCAAAGATTGAGGAGCAGTAAGTACTCTTAATACTTAACTAGAGGCCTCGTTTGAGTCCTGGGATTGTCACATTTTGTTGGGAGTAATTTATCCCTCAAAGTGAGGCTTTCTAATGTGAATCTGAACTAACCTTCCTAAACTGGGAATTCTGAATGCAAATCTATCTAGTCGAACTATAGTGAATTTTTTTATGCAATCTGGATTAGTTGGGCCCTTAAAAGAGTTTTTTAGATGCAGATCTATATCTATTGAGCCTCAAAACGGGTATCAAACATCATGAGAACGAGATTGTTTGTTTTTCTAGTGCAAAAATGAGAAAGAAATTGAAGTGAAATAAACTCATCTACTTGTACTAAAGTTATTAATGAATAATCAAGGACAAACCGATCATTGATAAAGTTGTATATAAACAGTAGATTAACCATCCGAATAAACTATTTCAAAACCATTTTAGCAGCTCAATTAAAAAAATTATAAGCGAAATCAAAAGTACATATCTTCTATTAAATTTGAATGGCCATATAGAGAGAGCAAGAGAAAAAAGCAACACCAGAAAAACAATTAAAATTAAATATGAACCAATACACCAAAAACACATACAAAAAAATAAATTATTCTATCGCTGATGATTTTTATATTTATCACTCATGCATTTTAAGAAAATAAGATCATCTCTTTAAACAAAAAATAATAATTTTTTTTGAATATATATGAAGGATAAAGTTCTTTGAAAAAAATTTATCTTACGCTTCAAGTATTTGGATTTGTTCCATGCTATGTCTGTTATGCCTTTTTGATCCTCTTTGGGAATTTGATGATTCATCATTAGGCTCTTCCCCGGAATCTTTCATTTTTTTTGCTAATTTCTGTTTGATAAAACAAATTTACAAAAGAAACACAAAAAATCAAGTGTTAATCTATTTGATTTATTGTGTAGATAATCAATTTCTATAAGAAATAGCTAAAATAGAACAAAGAGAAGAGAAATATATAAGAGAGAATTTTTTACATACCTTTTGCTTGATGAATAAAGATAGAGAAAAGAAATATAAGTGCTCTATTTATATAGTAGAAAATAAGTTGATTGTACATGTGAAGACACATAGAATCTGATATCACAAAAAAATAAGGGAAAAATTTAAAGAATATAAAGTGTGAAGAAAAGATAAGAATTGTGTTGTGTTTTCTTTTTTTATGAAAAAAGATTTGGTTTGAGATTAGTACATATGTTTTGTTATTTATACATGGGAAATGACAAAAATACCCCCCGAACTATCGTAAATGGTATGCAGATACCCTCTGTCATCCTTTTGGACATTGGTGCTCCTGTCGTCCAAACACTAGACCATATATATCTTTTATACTAACGGGCATAAACGTGTCATAATCTTCTCCCCCGACCCGATATTTATAATTAAATATCATATCGATGGATAAGATTGTGTCACGTGTTCTTATTTAGTTTTCCGTTAGAGTGAAGGGTATATATGATATAGTTTTTGGACAGTATGGCAACAATGACCTAAAATATGACGCAGGGTATATGCATACAATTTATGTCAGTTCAGGGGTATATTTATCTTTTTTCCCTTTATATATTATCTATTTAAATTGCATCATAAGCGAGATTTCATAAAAGACATATTTATAACTTTCTTTCCATCAAAATCTCATAATTATTTTTTCTAACAGTAATATCACAATTTTTTATACTAAATTTTAATATTTAATCTAATAAGTATCAAACTCGATTAAAAGAGGATAAACTTGACTCGACCCCAGAATAATTAGGGCAAAAGGGCATAATACACCTATCAATTTTGCAATTTATAGTAAAAAGACCGGACATTACAAAAGGAGCTCACATATACTCCTACTATTACACAAATGACTCAAATAAACCATCTTCGTCTAATAGAAATGAAAAGGTTAATTTAATTAATTACATTTTTAAAATTTTTATCAAAAAAAATAAAATCTATGTAGGTACATTTGATATTTTCGCAAAATTAAGTTGTATATTTGATATTTCTCGCGCATGAGTTCTTTTTTTTTTTTTGCCTTCTTGCATGACCCAAAATTGGATGTGATGACACTCGTCTATTTCCACCAAAAAAAGTCAGCCTCAAACCCAACAACACAAATAAAAGCGGAAAGTAGAACAAGAATAACATAAGAGCGAAAAACTTAGTCATTATAATATAAATCACAACTTGATTGTCATGTGTACAAGCCACTAATAATAATACACATGAAAGATAAGTGCAAGTATCAATGTATTTGTCTACAAATAAAGCAAAACATAAAATAAGAAACAAGAGGCCCATAGGGATGACAGACAACTACCTCTCAAATTCCTTCATAAGCTTTGGAAATAGAAGCAGAGCAATCACACGGACCTGAGCTCAGAACCTACAAGTATAGAAGTAAGGGGTGAGTATTAAGCAACACAATATTCAGCAAATAACATATTAAACAAAGAAAAACTGGGCTAGAATACGAATACTCATTTCATCTCAACTGAAGTGTCTAGACTACAAATTGCATTAAATCAGCTCAATATAACAATTTCACACAACACATTCATAAGGCTTGGCTAACACAGCCCAACAGTCATTGTTCAACAACTAACATTTATCAAGTATACCCAAGTTTTATCAAACTAATTTTATATTATATGTTTTCATTAAAAAATTTCATTGTTTACCTTCTTACTTCATTAAGTTTGTGTATATCCAACCTTCTCGAGCCTTTACTCATAGCAAACACCACTACAACAAAAATAATAATAAATATGCACATCAACAAAGAATGCTAAACTTGTTGAGACAACCTTGGGCGGAGTTAATTGAGCTCGCCAAATGGACGTGAGTTGAAGAGCCAATGTTTTTTTTGACTTTTTAAATTAATCCCTCTAAATTCTTGCATTTGTTCTTTTTCCTTTCGTTCATCCACATTTCTTTCTTAGTTTCATATTTTATTTTAAATAATTCAATCAACTTTATCATAATTGCATATCATTTCCATCATTCCCGGTCTCCCCTACGTATCATCATTATTGAATCTTCGTCCACTCTTTGCTATTTTACATTACTCGATAAGTTTCTTGAATCCATGTTCTTAGAGTTCTAGTTATCGTTCATGATTGGTTTGTTGTAATTGCATGATTGCATCAATTGCTCTATTAAATGTTTCTCTTAGATTGAACTCAATCCACTCCCGGAAGCACAATCCGCTAAACAAAAGAGGAGTGGTATTCTTTTGTAAGGCCATCCACTATCTTATTACTGCCACGAAGCATGTTCCAGCTTCTATTCTAGCTACTACTCTCACTAAGTTAGTAGACACACAACTTGATTCATACTCAGAAACATCCACAAGTGCCGATGGATGAAAAACTATTACAAGAAAGAAAGGAAATGTAGCTAATCCACAAGTCAATAATACAAAGATCGGAAAATGCAATAGTGTTGGTATGATGATGGCTGAAAAAAATAATACGCATACTCGCAGCTCCATATTTACTCAAAATGCAGTGCTAGTAACTCACAACACTATAGAAGAAGTGGAAAATATGGAGATAGTCACTCTTTAATGCTCACAGCATATGCAACAACTCAACATCCAGGTGAATACTAAGCGTACAAGACTTGACAAAGAAAAGAAAACAAAAGAGAAAAATCATAAACCAAAAAAAACTACCATCAAAAAAAAACCTCAAGAAAATCAAACAGGAGAAAGAAGTTGAATTACCCGAAGTTGATGACCAATGGCAAATCTTGAACACTGATCTAGCGAAGGTTAACATGGGGGAGATCTCAAAAGTCAATAGAAAAGGGAGAAAGTTTTCTGCCAAAGTTGTTCTACCGAGAGATTTGATTATTGGTAATGAACACATTAGTAAGGTGAACAAAAACTCAGTATATCCTCCTCACTTTGGACTAGATTCTAAATTAGTGGAGAAATATGCAGGCTGGAGACACAAAGAAAGAGGTCGAGAACATCAACTTATGGATGAACCTGATCCACCAAATGTCCAAGATCCAGGTGGAGGTGCTTTGCCAGTTAATACGAATCACAAGGCCACTGCAATATATTACGATAATGTTGATCAAGACCAGGTCATGACCATGGTTACTCTACCTAAGGGAGAAGATCGATCCAAATCAGATGATGAAAATCGGTGAACGACTAACATGCAAAACTACCAAATGCATTGACACTCACCGGGAAGTGATCCTTTTCAACAACCTTTCTCCAAGAGGCCTTAATGGACTGAATGGAGAGGAAGATAGTGGTTTCTACATTGAAGGAACTATCACTAACAAAGAAGGTCATCAAAAGTTCTCTTAAATGTACTCAATGATCAGTACACTTTCGTGGAATATAAGCGGAATTGCCTCCCAGGGTACTGCTGATAGACTCAAATACATCAAACAACAATACAATCTTCCTTTCATCTTCCTACAAGAGCCTATGGTAAGAGCAGGAAAGATTGAAAGATACAAAAGAAAGCTAGGCTTTCAATATTGTTTTTATAATTGATCCAATAAAATTTGAATTTTTTGGTCCTCTGATTTTGTGATTAACATCATTGATGACAAGGAACAGCAGATTCTTCTACACATTACTCAAGTCCAAGGCCCCTTGAATTTCTATATTTTGTAGTTTATGCCAAGTGCGAGGAAGCAGGCAGGACAAATCTGTGGGATGAAATTAGAGCTTCTTCCAACGTCGTCACTGGCCCTTGGGGGAAAGTAGGTGATTTTAAAGTTGCCTTAAACTCTCGTGAAAAAATTTGTGGAAGACCTTATAGAGTAGAGGAAGGATTTGATTTTACTTCTTGCCTTACTCTATCATGAGGCAAAAAGCTAAGGTAAAATGGTTGGAGGATGAAGATGCTAATACTGCATTCTTCCATAATATCATCAAAGATAGAAGAAGGAAACTTTCCATTCATAAAATCAAAGATATGGAAGGTAATTGGGTTGAAGGGAGCGATAATGTTGCAAATGCAGGTGTACATATTTTCCAAAAGCTTTTCAGTGCGGTAGAAATACTCGAGGATTCTCAAATCCTTAGTATAGTGCAAAAAGTAGTTACTGATGCTGACAACATACTTCTTACATCACTTCCTACCATACTCCATACAAGAAGTTAAAGATTGTGTTTTTTCTATTGATCCTAACAGTTCTCTGGGCCCTGATGGTTTGAGTGGAAAATTATATCAAAGTGCTTGGAATGTGATTGCTGAAGATATTCACAGGGCAGTTTTGGCTTTTTTCAAGGGGGATTCTATTCCTAAATTCATGTCTCATACTCGTCTTATCATGCTTCCTAAAGTTGACTCACCGTAACAACTTTCTGATAATCGGCCTATTAGTCTACGCAATGTATCTAGTAAGATAATTGCAAAGCTTATCAATGTCAGATTCAGCTCTATCTTGCCTAAAATAATCACCACTAATCAGAGTGGCTTTGTTAAGGGAAGATCCATTGCAGAGAATATCCTATTGACTCAAGAAATTATTGAAGATATCGGCAAACCAAGGAAAGGGAGCAATGTGGTTATCAAACTTGACATGGCCAAGGCTTATGATCATGTGGCTTGGCCTTTTATATGCTTCATGCTTAGACAGTTGGGTTTTTGTGAAAACTGGATTGATCTCATTTATAGATTTAGCTCCAACAATTGGTACTCCTTAATTATAAATGGTAGCAGACATGGCTTCTTCAAATCAGAACGGGGTCTGAGACAAGGAGATCCCCTTTCCCCCTCCCATTTCATAGTATCTGTCGAACTACTTTCTCAGATGCTCAACAATCTCAAGAATAATCCCAAATTTAGAGGCTTCTATATGAATCCCCAAGGCCCTCAAATTACTCATTTATCCTTCGCTGATGATACCATTATCGAATGTAGTAGTTTAAAACAATCTCTGAAGATAGTCCTTGATACCCTTGATATGTATGAGAATGTCTGGACTAAATAAAACCAAGAGTTGTTATACTATGGCTCCAAGAACTGCTCAAAGTACTATTTTTAGAGTTGGTAGAATTTTGGGCATGAGATTTAATAAGTTTCCTCTGAAATATCTTGGTTGTCTTATCTTCAAAGGTACCAAAAAGCTGGAAATATTTGCCGAGATGGTGACCAAAGTGATCAATAGAATTAAAGGGTGGCATTTGAAGTTCTTATCCTCGGGAGGGAGGGCTGTTTTAATTAAACATGTACTTATGACACTCAATATTCATACATTAGCAGCTGTACATCCTCCTAAAGGCAATTTGAAGGTTATTGAAATTTTCATGGCTAGATTCTTTTGGTCCGGACTTGACACTAAATCGAGAGAACATTGGGTTTCCTGGAAAAGCCTTTGTTTTCCAAATGAAGAAGGTGGCGTTGGTTTCAGAAGAATTCAAGACACTTGCAAGGCCTTCATAGCCAAACAATGGTGGAACTTCAGAACCAACAACTCACTATGGTCCAAGTTCATGAGTTTCAAGTATTGCGAAGGATCCAACCCTGTTCCCAGTCAATGGAATAAGGGTCAATCTCACAGTTGGAAGGCCATGAGTTCTATAAAAGATAAAATAGAGCAGAATATTTTGTGGAAAGTTGAGAAAGGTGAAGTTAGTTTCTGGTTTTATAAATGGTCACCTAATGGGCCTTTATACAAGTATCTAGATGAGAACTATATCATCAATGACATTATGCTCAAAGACGTCTTTCGGAATGGGCAATGGGGTTGGACTATTTTCCGAATCCAACCACCTACGGAAGTGAAAAGCAGTCTATTGTCCATTTCCTTTAGCTTCAGTCAGGAAAGGGATGACAGAGCTATTTGGACTATTACTAACAATGGAAAATTCTCGGTATTCAGTGCTTGGAGCTTACTCAGACAGAAAAGAGATCTAACCATTTTGACAAAAGACTCTGGCATAAGCTAATTCCTTTCAAGATGTCTTTCATGGACTGGAGAGTAATTCATGATAGAATTCCTACTGATGGAAAAACTATTAGATATGGCATTTAGGTTCCACTTACTTCTTGTTGTTGTACAGGTCCAAATATGACAGCGGAATTTGAATCTACTAATCATCTGTTTTACTCTGGCTAATTTGCTCAAGAGCTATGGAAATACTTTGCTGGAAGATTAGGCATACCTTACAGAAATACCAACCTGAGAGATCTCTTGATCAGCTGTTGGAATAAGTCAAGTCAAAACTCCATAGCAACTTTTATTCATAGAATCCTTCCCGCTATTATCATTTGGGAAATGTGGAGATCTAGATGCAGCTCAAAATATGATGCGGAAACTCCATCCATTCAAAGATCAAAAGCTCTTATCACTTTCAACATCACTCAATTAATCGGGCTACAATTCAAAAAGATCACTATGGGAAATAGTTGGGAAGATCTATGCAGATTATATGAAAAAACAATTGTAGAAACTCCTCTATTATGGTTACTTGGATCAAACCTCCTCTACTCTCTATTAAGCTTAATAGTGATGGATCATGTATCAATGGAAATTGTGGAGGAGGAGGAGTGATCAGGACTTGTGCGGGTGATCTAATCATGGCATATTCCATCCCTATGGGTAGATGTACAAGTAATAGTGTAGAGGCAGGTGCTTTGTTATTTGGTCTTAAGTGGTGCATTGATAATGGCTTCAACATGATCATTTGTGAAATTGACTCTCTGATAGTATATAAATCTGTAACTGGAAGTTGGACAACTCCGTGGAGGATTGAAGATACAACTGAAGGAATCAAAAAATTAGTTACTAACTATGACATCGTTATTCAACATTGCTTTAGAGAAGCTAACAAAGTTGCTAATAAATTAGCTACTATTAGTCACAATCAAAAAAACAATTGTGTGTAAAGTACTATTGCTGAGTTACCTAGGAAAGTTCAAGGATTGTTAAATATTGATAGATTGCAGCTACCTTCATTCAGAGTCAAGAAGAAGACACCAAGTATGCTCACTCATGAGCCTCCTCAGATGTTCAGCTATATTTGCCACTTCTAATTATATTTTTGCTTAGTAGACAGAAAGGCTTTTTAGCCAAGCTATGATTCCACATATTGTAGCAAAGGTCAGGCATAGCCCCCCTTTTGCAACTCTTCTTCTACGTGGCAATAAGAATATCTATTACATAAGATAAAAAAAAAGATGGGAATAAATATGAATTTTGGAGCATAAAGATGAAGACTTTGTTCAAGTCTCAAGAATAGTGGGATTTGGTGGAGAAGGACTATGCTGAGGAAGATGAAGCACAAAGATTGCACGAGAACGAAAAGGACTCCAAGTCTCTATTATTTTACATCCCAGCAAGTGATGCATGACTCAATTTTTTCCAGAATTGCTGTTGCAGAAACCTCAAAGCAGTAGTGAATTTGTTCACGGTTACTTATCTCGGGTGAGTGCAATTGTTAATCATATGAAGGCATACAGTGAAAAACTACTGATGAAAATGTAGTTTCTAAAGTTTTGGGAAGTCTTAGTAAAAGATTTGATCATTTCGTAGTTGCTATTGAGGAGCCCCGTGATTTATCTAGTTATGGTTTTGATGAATTGATGAGTTCGTTGCAAGCTCATGAGGATAGACTGAATGCTTCTCAAGAAAAGGGTGAAGAGAAGGCATTTCCTCTCAAAGTTTCTGATGTTAAAAGTTTTGCGTTAATAACCAAAGGCAATACGGAAGCTACTTTATGGCAATTGTGGAATGGTCACTTGAATGTAAGGGGTTATAATTATTAGGTCGTAGAAATATGGTTCTTGGTTTGCCTAGAATTGATGCTCTTGAATTTTGTGAAGGATGTGTGTATGGGAAACAAAATAGAAATTCATTTCCTGTAGGTAAGTCTTGGAGAGCATCTGTTTGTCTTGAATTGGTGCATGCTGATCTATGTGGTCCTATGAGTGTTGAGTCCTTAGGTGAAAGTCAATATTTTTTGCTTTTACGAATGTTATAGTCGAATTAGTTGGGTATATATCTTGAAATTCAAATAAAAAACATTTGAGAATTTCAAGAATGTAAGTCTCTTGTTGATAGACAAAGTGGTTGTAGAATTAAGACTCTTCGAACAGATAGGGGTGGTGAATTTATATCAAATGAATTCAACACCTATTGTGAGGAAAATGGTATTCATAGAGAGCTCACAACACCATATACTCCAAGAGCAGAATGGTGTTGCCGCACGCAAGAATTGAACGGTCGTTGAAATGGGTAGAAGCATGATGCAAGCTAGAGGTGTACCAAAATATTTGGGCTGAAGTTGTTGCTACTGCTGTCTACATGCTGAACATTTCACCCACCAAGACTGTTCATAATCAAATTCCATATGAAGCATGGAGAGATAACAAGCCTTGGGCACTTACGTGTCTTTGGATGTATTACTTATTCTTTGGTGAATTCCCAAGTTAGATATAAGTTTGATGAAATATCAATGAAATGTATCTTTGTTGGATATAGCACACAATTCAAAGCTTACAAGTTATATAATCCACTGAGTGGAAAATTGTGATCAGTAGAAATGTTATGTTTAATTAAGATGCTAGCTGGAACTTTGATTCTGAGAATGTTCAAATATTAAATTGCTGCCTACTGATGAAGCTTTTCAAGAAGAACCTGCAGCAGTTTCAGCAAAAACCTGCAGCAGTTTCTGTTCCAGGGAATGCATCCAGCTCTTCTCCAACAAGTAGCAGCCGTGATATTCATCAATCAAGGCTCCAGCAAGTGATCACAGCTTAACCCACCAAGGAAGTGGCAGCAGTTCTTCTTCAAGTGATTCTTCCAGTGAGACTCCACCAGCGAAATTGTTAAGGGGGATTTATGAAAATTGTTAATTTGCTTTGTATGTTACTGAACCAGTTGCTTCAAGGAAGCTATAGAAAGTCAAGCATGGAAAAATGCAATGAGATGCAAGCAATTGAGAAGAATCAAACATGGGAATTGATGAATCTACCAGAAGGAAAGGAACTCATTGGATTCAAATGGGTGTTCCAAATCAAGCGCCATCCAGATGGGAGCATACAGCGATACAAAGCAAGGCTTCTAGCTAAAGGATATGCACAACATCAAGGTATTGATTACGATGAGACGTTTTCACATGTCGCTCACTTTGAAACGGTGAGAATACTCTTATCTTTAGCTGCTAAACAGAGCTGGCCCGTTTATCACTTTGATGTTAAATCTGCATTCTTAAATGGGGATTTGGAAGAGGAAGTTTATGTTTCCCAACCTGAGGGTTTTGGTGTTAGTGGCAATGAGAGCAAAGTATACAAGCTCAAGAACGCTCTTTATATAGCTAAAACAAGCGCCACGGGGATGGTACAACAAATTGACTCGTACTTCCTGTGAGATAGATTTGAAAGGAGCGAAAATGAACCTACGTTGTATGTAAATAAACAAGGTACAAGTGATTTATCTCTATGTGGATGACATGATCTATATGGGGTCATGTAAAACTTTAGTTGCTGAATTTAAATCTTTCATGATGAAGGAGTTTGAAATGTCAGATTTAGGTGTTTTGCAATACTTTCTTGGTCTTCAAGTGAAATAGGTAGAAGATGGTATATTTTGTTTCACAAACGAAGTATGCAAAAAACCTCTTGTTCAAGTTTGGTATGCATAATTGTAAAGCGGCTGTCACACCCATGAATGCACATGAAAAATTTCAGCTGAAGATGGCAACAGATCTCGCTGATCCCAGTCACTACAGAAGCTTGATTGGAGGTTTGAACTACCTAACACATACTCGTCCTGATATTATGTTTTCTGTTAGTATGTTGACTAGGCATATACATGGTCCTACCAGCAACATCTTGGTGCTGTCAGAAGAGTTTTACGTTATGTTGCTGGGACAGTTGACTTCGGGACTTGGTACTCCAAAGATGCAGATTTCAGCTTGAGTGATAGTGATTGGGCAGGAAGTATAGATAACAGAAAGAGTACTTCTGGAAATGTGTTCAATTTAGGATCTGGGAGATCAAAGAAGCAGGATGTGGTTACATTATCATCATCAAAAGCAGAATATGTTGCTGTAACTTCAGCAGCTTGTCAAGCCTTATTTTTATGAAGAACGTTAGTTGATGTTTCTATCGGCAAGAGGGTGCGATAAAAATATTCCAGGATAACAAGGCAACAATTGCAATGACAAAGAACCCGGCTTTTTACAACAGAACAAAGCACATAGACATCCATTATCATTTCATTCCTAACCACACAACAAGAGGTGATATAGAGTTGAAGTTTTCCGGTACAAGGGATCAAATTGCAGATGTTCTCCAAGGCACTCCCACAAGCCAAGCATGATCAGTTCCGACAGAAACTTGGAGTTTGTAAGTTTTGAATCAAGGGGGAGTGTTAAATATTGATTCAACACCACATGCAAGTAGAAAACATTCGGTAACACATTTACTTTATAAATCATGTGAAAATCATGCAAGTTATAAAACATCAATTGTGGTAAGTTTACTACTCACAGTATTCGTGTTGAAATACCAAACTTATCCCTTCAAGTAATTTGTACAACTTTCATTCGATCAACCTATATTCATATCATATAAATCTCCTTGATAGAGCTATTTCATGAACTAATTTACAACACTCAATCCCTAAGGTTACAGTTCACCCTCATTCGTCAACTCATATTTATTCACTAGTGTATCAGTCGTTCAATTTCCACCAACAAAGAGGCATAATGTTATATTTCTGTTTGAAACTTTCTCTAACTAAATCACTGTTAAACAATCACAATATAACTCACTAGTGAGACTAAGAGTATCTAGGGTTAGTAGAATAAAAATCTTCCTTTGTTCATGGGTATTCTCATATTGAAATTCATATTCGAATTATCAATGTTACATTAACCCAACCCGTGATAATAAATATATAGGCATGTGAATGAACTGAAATAGAATACCTTGAATCCATATTTATAACTGCACAGGTTTCCGTGATGACTATCTTCATAGACAGAGAAGCAAGGAATACGTTTTTCTTTTTCTTTTTTCGTTCATTCACTGGAGAACAAAAATAGCTCCAACATTTTTCTATTTTATTTTTTTATTTACTGCGCGTAAATTGGGGGAGGAATGCTGCACAGATTTAGCAGTCATGAAACCCATTTTTAAAAGAGAAATTTTCACATATAGCAAATAAAAAATTTATATTTGTATGTTATAGCAAACTTTGCAAATTGCGTTCAATAGCAAACATAAAACTGTATAATTTGCTATACATATACAATTGTTTAATTCGCTGGCCTATTTCGCTGCAATTGTATATTTGTTTTGCATACAGTTGAATCGAATTAAAATCTATGTATATTGCATAATTATAAGTGTATAGCAAGAAGATATATGTTTTTCTCGCTTTATATAAAAACAGAAACACAATATATACACTTCTGTTGTATAAAGCTAGAGAAAATTGTATTTCACTGCAATTGTATAATTCGTTGGCCTTTTTCTCTACAATTTGAAGTAAAATGTTTGTAAATTGTATAATTAAGTATATAACACGAAGATATACATTTTTGCATGTGTATATACAATTTTCTCTTGCTTTCTACAAAACAGAAACAGAATTATACACTTCTGTGTATAAAGCGAGAGAGGTGAGCGAGAATGGAGAGTGGCGAGCGAGATTTTTGGGAGAGAGACGCTGGCAAATTTTAGCTAATGTTTGCTATGGAACACAATTAAATAAAACCCTAGCTATTCCATTTAATTTAGGTTATTAGTTTGCTATTATATACAATTTTCCCTTTTTAAAAGAATATATTTGCACGTGAGATGGGGCTAAAGCCCATTCCCTTACCTTTTTGGTTTTGAACTAATGCTAATGACTAAATTGCCCTAATCTAATAATAGGGTTATATTATGGGAAAATTGTACATAATGACAAACTAATAAATCAAATTAAATATTATAACCACACTTTGATTTAATTGTGTTATTTAGCAAATTGTTTGTCAGTCACCTCTCTTCCTCAAACTCTCGCTCGCCACTCTCCCTTTCTCGCTCCATCTCATATAGCAAACTGTTTGTTAGTCACCTCTCTCCCTCAAACTCTCACTCGCCACTCTCCCTTTCTCACTTCATCTCACTTTTATACAAACACAAATGTATAAAATGTGTTTGTGTTTGTATAAAGCGAAAAAAATTGTATATATACATATATTTAGTTCTACTCTCCCAGATCTCGCTCCTCACCCTCACCTCTATCGCTTATACAAACAGAAACGAAATGTATAAAGTGTTTCTGTTTATATAAAGCGATAGAAAATTATATATACATCTGCAAATACATATATCTTCATTCGGTACACTTATAATTATATAATACACATATTCTCCTGCCCAATTTTTTTTCTTTCTTTCTTTCTCGTTTTATACATACACAAATAAAACAATTGATTTGTATACAACTACTTTCTTTTGTATATGTATAGCGAATTATACAATTGATTTCTTTGTATATGTATAGCAAGTTATACATATTTATGTTTTGCTACGAAACGCAATTATTCAAATTTTTCTATAACATACAAATACAAATTTTTTGTTTGCTATATGTAAATGGTTATCTTATATTATAGGGTAGTACAGGGTATTACATGTAGAGTTGTTTTGAAATTGTGTTAAGAGTGCCAATTCTAATGGTACTTGTGAACGTGAAAATGGATCATGGGCAACTTTTTGCGAATTAACCGTTTTGTTTGAACCTATGTTGTGACCACCTTGTGAGTTGTGTGATTCATTTTTCCCAACATGTGCCTGCACTTTTTGTTGTTAAAGAAAATAAACCTTCAATCTGAACCACTTTGAATTCTTAAACCTCTTTTTTTATTCAAAATATTCTTAAAGCTTTAAGGTGTAATTGTTACCAACTAAGGCCAAAGTGAATGTATAGATGAAGTTCGCATGGTTGATATATACCATGTTAGTGGAATATGATAAACAATTGTGGCAAAGGCCATCTATAACTGAATATTTCAACACTTCAGATTCATTGCTTCCTTTCAGATGTTAGATTAGAAGTGAAAGCATTTGGTCTAATCAAGATACAAGAGTTTTGATAGTTTAATAGTTATTAAAACCCAAGACGAACAATTGATATGCCGGACTAGAGAAAATGAGAGAGGCAAGGCAAAAATTTTAAATCACGATGAATCTCAACTACTTTTTTCCTGTCATACTTTTAATAGTCTTTCTCCACCACAAGAATATGTTGAGCTTGTACAAAACATAATTAAATATTCAGGTGGACTATCATGACCTATTATTACATGGGGGTCACATTTACAAGGGAGATCCATATAAGAATGGAGATACGAGTTCAACAACTAAGCGAAATTCCTCATTATGATATTCAAAAGATTCTCAATATATTCTTTGATGGACTTGATTGTGATGCTCAGAGTATTTTCCTTGATATTGTGTTCGCCTTCATGGATTCTTTGAGCGTGAAGTTACCAAAACATTAAATTTGTGTGGTTTTTATTTTGAAAGTGCAATTACAATCTTAGTCCAAAGTTTCTTGCTCCAAAGGGATTGTCGTTATTTGATGATATACGATCTGGTGGAGGATATGGGAAGAGAAATAGTTCACATGGAATCAACTCGTGAGTTTGGAAAACGGAGTAGACTATTCAAACCAAAAGATGTCCGTGTTGTTGTACAAGGAAATAAGTTGGTAAATTCTTTATCTTTATCTTGGTTATACTCTGTTTTAATTTAAGGTCAATACTGGTGGTAGAAGGACAATAGGCGGATTCAGAATTTCAAGGTTGTGGTGTCATGCGTTATGTTTAATAAATCGATCAAATATTAACCTATTTTAGGCCTTGTAAATAGCAACTTGGGACGAATTTATTTTGTTTTCATCCTTTTAGTTTATGGGATAAATAAATTCAACAAAATAATTATGATTTTGCATAAAGAATATTTTTTCCATAATATTAGTATTTACATAAAATAAAAAATATTTATTCCATTTAAATTGCACTCGGCGAGTTTTCTTATTTCAAAAAAGCTCAATGATGACAGAATTATTTATATTTATAAATATTTCACGTTTTGTATAACAAACTGAATATAAAGAGCTCGCAAAATTTCACATACATAATTTCAATATCATAGACGAAGTATTGCCTCATACAAACTGACAATCTAAAATTGCCAAACAGAAATCAAATGTGATTTCAGTAAGCTTTTTATGTTATCATTTATTGCAACACAGATTTTATTTTATAAATTAGAACTTTCAAAAAGATATAAATTATCACATTTGGATTTTTTTTATACGCATTCAAATGTTTAGATAATACAACAAAGAGAAAGAGAACCCCATTGTCGAGTTTTTGAAATTTAGACGAAAGAGTGGAGCTAGTAAGAACTAGTCGAAGAAGAAAAATATTACTCCCCCATCCTAATTACAACACTTTTGAAATTTATTTTCTAAATAAATCTTCAATATTTGTCTGACTATAAATTATTTCATTAAGGTAAAATAATAATTTATAGTCTAAAATAAATTTCAAATGTTTGTACGATTATAAATTATTCCATCAAGGTAAAAATAATAATTTAAAACTTAGTTATTTTTAATAATAAAAAGACAATATTTTTGAAAATAGTCTAAAACAAAAAGTATTTAACATAAATTTATGCTTAAAATAGAAAAGGAAGAAAAAAATCAATAAAAATTACAACAAAATATTAGCAAATTTAGGTCTATGTAGATTATTTATGGGGCTACTAATACGGAAATAAAATTTTACATAAAAATTGTGCTCCATTAGAATCGAACACGCAACGTTGAAGTTGAAAACATGAACTTTCACCACTGGCACCAGGCGTTTACTTGTTATTGGGGGTGGCAGATTCAATATATATGTCTATATTATATATATATATATATATATATATATATATATATATATATATATATATATATATATATATATACACATAGATTCGAGTTCACTGGGTGTCGTGGCATCCCCTCTAACACATAGATCCTCCCCTGAGAAGGACGAACATTAAAGGGTGTGAACTTGAACACCAAAGCATTTCACAAGATGATAAAATCTTAGGGTGCTTGCAATTGACGACAAGTTTCATATCAGTGAAGATTTTGAGCTATTGTCCAGGGAGCTCAGATGGTTGTGAAACTTGTATTTCTGAATATATATAAATGGGAGTAATATCGAAGAATTTGGTTTAAATTTGAAGGTTTGTTTCTCGATTCGGCAATTTCATGTGTTCTGTTTTATTGCAACTAAGTGAAAGAAAAATCTTACTAGAAGTTATTTTGTTTGCTTTTAGTATTGTAGAAGTTTGAAGAAGTTGGATCTCTCTGTCAACAATTCTGTAATCTAGAAGAAAGAACTATGTATTCAAGAAATTAAGAGAAATATTGATCAAACATTATATAGATGCTTAAAACTAACTTTGCATTCTAACTAACTCATACATCACCCACGTGACTTCTTAACAACCTTCTACTAGCTTCCTAACAGTGTTAATCACCTCTAACAGACTTAACAATGTGACATATTAAACATGGCAACTAACTCTTCAAATGCTCTCCCTCAATCTGGTGGTTGGAATACATCCAACACACCTAGCTTGCCAAGTAGAAGCTCGTGTTGTTCCAAGTCCCGTTCCAAGTCCCTTAGCGAACATGTCTTCAAGTTGCATACAAGTGCAAACGTATTGAGGATCTATGAAACCTGACTTCACTTTGTCTCTAATAAAATGACAGTCGATCTCAATATGTTTGGTTCGCTCATGAAAAATGGGATTCCTAAATTGTTGCGTTACTGTCATAGAAAACCTTAATATGAACTGTAAAGTGCACATTCGACTCTTTCAGTAAACTTGTAAACCAAATCAATTGTGAAACCACAGCAGCCATGCTTCTGTACTCTTGCTTCTGCAGAGGTCCTCCTCGTTGTGTGTTGTTTCATGGATTTTCATGAAATTTGAGAATCTCCAAGTTTTACCACATAACCAGTTACCGACTTGGGCACACAATATGAATCACAGTCGCCAACAAAATCTGTAACAACTCCTATTTTAAG